TATTTTAGATACGGCCCGGCGGACGGTGTGATTTTATGACGTCACGCGTTTTACGTGACTTATAAATAAACACCGAAGCAATTGTCCGACAAAAATTTTTATACCACTAAAATTTTGCTTTTTTAAGCACTAAATTTTCACACAATAAAAAAAAATTAGGATTTTTTTAGTTGTATAGTCCTTTAATTAACACTTTTGTAAGTTGTCCAGCTTTCGGCCGGTTTGAATAGGCTTCCATTGTGCCTAGTAACTTCTTAACTGAAATGTTTTTTTTTGGATGGCTTGCCCGCTAATTGTAATTTCTGTTTTTGTTCATTTTGCTGGGATACCAATTTCTTTAACTGCGGCAATACTGGTGCTACGTCACTCAACATAGCCATTGGTGTTTCGTTCGGGTTTAATGACCAGATGAGAACGTTCTCATGCAACAATGCCAACTGCTCACTATCAAATAAACGACCAACATAAATTATTTACTTCTTTCGACTAGGTTAAATGAGTTGTGGGGGATATTGACTAGCAGAGGGAAGATAACAATTAAAATGAGGAAGAGCAGATACACTTACGAGTTTCCACTGAATACTGTAATTTTAAAATATTCCTGCAGGAAACGAGCGCAATCGATGATTGTGCATGAAGGCAAACAAATTTCAACTAGGTCGTTTAAGGTCACCAAACAATCTGAATATATGAAAGGTTTGGCATTTATGCAGTGAATAATTTTCCCATCAATTGTTCCATTTTGAATCTGTGTAAAAAATAGGTTAGGCAAGGTTTTGTATTCATATATTTATTAAATACGAAACAGCGTAAGTATGTAAGTATTATACAAATTAAAAAATATTCGGTATTTTATATGCCAAAAAATTCTAGATGTACTCTGTTCACCTTATGTTTACCCACTCGCTTGACGAAAACTGTTTGTGACTACATAATATGTCACCACCTCATTGGAATGTTGGTGGGCCGTGTGCACAGCGGCAGCTGTCTACTATGACAAGCAACGCCAATCGCCGATCACCACCGAACAATCATAAGAAAACATTTTAGTGGTTTGGTACACATGCGTGGAAGTGGGTCAACTTAGGTGAACCGAGTAAAATTGTAGTTATTTTGTGTGTTTCTTAGTATCTACTTTTTTGAATTAATTAAGAAATATACAGCCCGGTTATTTATTGCAATTGATTAAATAATAAGCATTGAAACAATTGTAAGATGTTAGAAAATATTTCTCAAATATAAATTTAAAAAAAAAAATTAATTAAAAGCATGTATTCATTTCCAAGTAAAAATTTATGCACATTAAGTTTATAAAAAAACTGCATAAATTTAAATCATTGGCCAAGAGAACTTGGTGTTTATTAATATGGACACTGGATAGTTACAATTAAATACAAAACATTTATTTAAGATTTAGTCAATCGGTACAATTATAAAATTAGTAATTTTAAGTTGTTAAACTTAAAATTACCTTTAATATTATTTCATATATTTTTAATGAACTAAAAAAAGGAATCTATTTAGTATTTATCATTGGTTGAATTTGATGAGCATGCCATTTTTTAAAAATAAATATAATACCTATAATTTTTATAAATATAAAAACAGAATTTAAAAGTATCCAATGTTAAGAAAAGCTTCAAGAGGTTATATTTTATAAAACTTTGCAAAATAATATTATTATATTCTAGTCCCCCATAATTTAAGTACCTTGTATGCATTATTATTTGATGAGTCTTGTTCATCTGTCCGTTCAGGTATTTTTACCAATTCATATCCAATATGAGTATGGTAAATGTCTTGTTCAGATGGATGAGGAGGAGTATACGGTTGAGATGATAAGGCGATGGTTTCAGKGGCCAGATTAATTTCGTCGGGTGTAACAGATCTGAAAGTGCTCCGTACTGAACGACTATGCACAGATTGGTCAGTATATGAATGCACAGTTGTCATAAATTGGTTAATAGGCACAACGTTGAAGTGTGAGACAGTATCATTATCAGAACTGCTGTCTTGAGACATTGTTGATTCCTGAAAACTCAATGAAAACTCAAAATGTAAAAAACTGTGATTCAATAAAAAAAAAATTAAAATATTTATATCGACGGTGTTTTGTAAAAAGGGCGTAACCCATCAAAAATCGAAAATCGACTTTTTGGTATCAACATTTTCAGAAAAATTAGTAGCAGTATTTGTAAAAAGAGCTAGCACTAACATAGACTCAGTATTTACCAATAGCAAGAATAATACACACCGACGCCTATATTATAACATATAATTATAATTTTAAAACGTAGAAAGGGCGTATACCACACTTTTAACACTGAACATTTTGTACGAAATGAAAATTCGGCATATTTTTCATTATAAACGTGATAATATTATCAAAATCATTAAATGTTGTGGTTATCTTATTAACCAGTCAGTTCATTAAACAGAATTAATATGTTGACAATGTTAACCACAGATATATATAATAAYTAGATAGMCGACTTCTTCTTATCAATGACGCTGGTAGCCATTTACAACTTGGGCAATGTTTACTAATCGTTAGAAAGATAATAATATGATAATAAACATTAAGCTTAATAATTTACATCCAAATTTACAAAATGCTAAAGAAAACATTTTATATTATATTTTAGGATATGTTGTAAGGAAAGTCAGTAGAACATTAGATTGTCAATCATGTAAAGATAGCCTATTAAAAAAAAACACAGATCACAATTATAATTCATTTTCTCACTCTAAATTTGTAAATTTAAAAAACAACGGAGGTTTAATTTCAGGGTCATTGAGTAGTTTTAAAATAATAATGGAGGTAGAAAAGTTGCTATTAATTTTAACTAACAATTTAAAAACCCTTAATATTTCTAAGTTAGATGAAAAAATTATACATTACTGTAATAATAAATTTTCTCTAGATCAAACTATATTTAAAGAATTAGATTGCACTAATATAAGTATTTT